CTAGAGGTGGATATTTTGTTTCTTTTTTTCTTAGGTCAAGAAAGGTTCAGGGAAGGCAGGGAAAATACAGTCCAGGCAGTACAGTACCAGGCAGTCTGAAGACTGTCTCCCAATCTACTCTCTAAACGCTGGGAGGAATGAGGAAGCAGACAGGCACCCTTTTCACTGGCCAACAGTGAACTGAAAGTTCACTTTTTGCACTTTCCCTGCCTCCCACGTGGGTTTTTTCAGTTCTTAACTCAAATCTAAGTACTTAAGTCAAGTCAATATTTTTCTATGAGAACGATTCTTAAGTCAAAATGTTCTTAATTCAAGCCGTTCTTAAGTCAAGCCCCCACTGTATTTTATCTTCATGGGGAAATTTTTGCAGAGTTTTGAAATTTCTGTGGTTTAATTTTTCTCACCTGTGCAGCAGAAGTGCAAGGATTCACAGAGCATAATAATTACTAGTTCCTAAATAACCCACCCCCCTCTCATTAACTGGCATTTAGTCTCAGTGACATACTCTGAGAAATGTTCCATTTACTTACAAATGCAAATATATTAACAACAAACTAATGAACGGCATGACTGCTTTTAATGACTCTGCTTCTATATACATTTAACAGACATTTTTCCACCAAATGCCATCAACAGACATTAACAGACTCTCTGAATGAAAAAGACTCTTAGTAGAGAGGAAGTGCTCTCTTGGAATTCTAATAGGCAGTAGAGAACTATTGGTTAACAGATTGACAGTTACTCCCAGCCTATAAAGGTCCCTACCAGGCAAACAAGCTAGAAGGCCGCATGTGAGGTTGTAAACTCGAACATATACTTTTGCTACAGGTATTAAAGCAACACGTGGAGTGGGAATGTGCATCTGTGGCTTCTGTCTTGGTAGAAATGGCACACTTACGTTCATACTCATGACTGGGGACTCTAGTGAAGCCATGTTTCTTGATCACACATGGTGGCCCTCCTGTCTAAAGGAAGTTTCCTGAGAAAGGTAACCTCTACTTCAAATGTATAAGAAGTCTGTCTCTCCTACTGTGCACCAAAATGTCACGCATGCCCCCATTTGCTGCCTCCAAATAGGAGGAAAAAGGAGGACCTATTTTGATCAGTCCTTTGCTATCTTCAATTTAGAAAATTAATTTATTTGTAGTCCTCACACAGGAAAACAAGAAATAAAAAAGCAGCACACACATGCCCCCTGGTGGCCATATTGCCTATTTAAAAGGAGAATTTAATCTTTGAAACAATTTAACAAAGCAATGAAAACTTTACTTACCAGTCTTGTTAAGTCTTTATCTATGTTTGACATCTTGTCAGTTTAAGGGAACCATTCAGGCCATTTTAAGAATTCAGATAGGTTTTTTTTTAATTAAGAAAGCTTTGATCTTATAAG